TTGTGAGTGCTGTGAATGCTGCCAAGGAGCACAGGCTCCAGGACCTTGTGAACTCTCACTTCCAGCCCAGGAACTGCTGACTCTTGCCCCATGCACTTGACCCTTTGCCCAGCTGGTCCTGCCAGAAGTTCTCCACTGCCAAGTCAGACACTGTGGTCAGATCCAGGGACCTCCCAACTCAGGCCAGAGTTGTGTTTGTTTGTGTGCGGAATGATGGGTTTCATTGTGGCATATTCACATACGTAAAAACAGTTTGATGAGTTTCACTCCCTAGTGCCCTTCCACCCTCCCAGTCTCCCTCCCCTGCTCTACTCCTTTATCCTATTGGTCATCCTTCTATTTTCTTTTTCTTTCTTTCCATTATCATTTATTCTCTCATAGGAAGATTTTTTAAAAAAAAACCTCCAAAAAGCAAAATAACCACACTTTGGTCTAGGCCACATTATAAATCCAAGCACTGGTGTGGAATTTCAGTGGAGAGAAGAAAACTTGTAAAAACCCCCAAAGTCATAAGAAAGTCTTCCAATTTAACTGTCTCTGTTTACCCATCCTTATTCACCACCCAAGACCATCAATTCTAGACTAGTCTGATCTGTAAGAGGGCTCAAAGCAGCCGGAGCAGGCATGGATGGAGGGAAAGAATGAGAATCAAAAGACATTAAGGAGCTGATTTGTTTGAGAAAAGCAGTGATTCCTCAGGTCACAGCTTCCAGTGGCTGAGATGCAAAATGCCTAAGAGAGCAGATCCGTGAATTAAATGGATTGCTTTTGGGGAGGTGAAAGTTGTATGAAGAACATGAGATGACAAGAGTCTGAATTTTTTTTAAAGCTTCAAGGTTTCAACAGAATGTGGATGTATTTGAGCTTTTAAAAAGGATAGCGGTTTAGAAAGGGCAAAACCAGGGCGCACAAAAGACTGGGAATTCCCATGACCCTTAAGTGCTTCCTGCTCCAGGAAATAAAGTGTTCACTGGAGGTCACACCTACTACCCAGTGCAAACTAATCCATCACCTCCCAAAAGCTTTTCAAACCACGATTTCCCCATTTATTTCGGTCCCCAAGCAGTCCTCTTCTTTAGTGGCCTGTAGACTCACTCCCAACTACCCTCCTGGGGGGTAAAAAAAAAATAAAGGAATTCCCCCTAGGCTGGCCCCAGTAACTCAGCATTAAAGTAAGAAGAAGGGCTGGCAGCCTCCCGGAGACTAAAACAATTTGAGACTGAATCTACCTTTCCAAGGATGGAAAATTTATTCAGATGATGTTTGAGAATTCATATATGCCACAATAGAATAAGAATTAAAAGGTAGAAATCTCACTCTTCCTTACACATCTACCTCCCCTACTGCCCAAGCAATGCAGACATTTTACCACTGTCATTACCATTTCTTCTAAATGGAGGCCCCTAGGCACTAATCACACAGGCAAGTGCATGGTATTGTAAGAACACACCACACACAACTTTTCCATTAAAAAGCTGTAGTCTCTGTCTCTCTGGCTACATTGGCGATTCTCCGGTAACTTCAATACTTTAAAGGCTGCAGCTGCATGCAAAAGAATCTCATTTCATTTTTTAAAAAAAGTTACGAAAGGTCTCCAGGAGATGGTGAGTTTTATTTGTCTTGTGTGGATAGAGGTTTGATTTGCTCTTAAATGTTCCAGGGTGGAGAGACTAGGAGAAAGCACAGGACGCAGAGGTCTACTCAATGTAGTCTTCTCCCTCATTTCATCTTCACCATCCACAGAGAGAGCGGCATACTTGCTTGCAGAACTGAACTTAGAGGTTGGATTTTCCTCAGGTTTCTTTGGCTCAGGTGCAGATCTGGAGTCTTGATCCTTTTTTGCCCTCTTTCCTATCTTGTTCCCTCCATCTCCTAGACCACCGCTGGAGTTCCCAGTTTGGCCTTTTGGGACATTCATTCCATCTATTTTATTATCGTCTTTCCTTGTGGGTCCTTCCTCAGATGGCTGAGCTGGAGCTACTTTCCCCCCAACCACTTGTGGGGGATTCCTGCTCTGTGTCTGAGCTCTGAGATGGAGCAGGAGGGTTAGAACTTTGCTTCACCCACGCATTCTCCTTTGGTGGAGGGGCTCGCATTACCTTTAGAGGCTGATCAGGTTTGGGAGGCTTAGAAGTTGGAGAGTGACAGTCTTCCTCCTTATTGAGTATTTCATTTTCTAGAGACTTCTCTCTCTCCTTCGTGCATTTCTGCCAGGTGTGGCTGAGGTTCCAGTCTGTGATGACTTCCTGTCCTTGACCGTTCCGGTTCCCGAGTTTCTTCACTTGGCCAGCTTGGGTGTCTCTCCCTAGGCCGCCGTTCTAGTTTTGGCTCATCCAACTGGCGCTGCAGTTTCTCCTGCTCCTTCTGTAGCCATTCTTCTACTTCTCTTTCTCTAGCAGCTGTGTCAACAGGTATTGCCCCTCCAAAGATAGAAGCTGCTCCACTGGACTGGGAGGTGCTAGCAGAGGAATCATCTTCCTTAGGTGTACTCCGAGGCTTTAGATTCAGTTTGGGTCTTTGGGCGGGGTGGGGGGGGACCTCTATCATCACGTCTGTAATCATCCCGAGAGTAATCATCTCTGGAGCTCATCTCATCTGTCATATGGGTCTTCATAATGGTCCCCACGTCCTCCGTACTCATCATCCCTTTGGTACCCACTACCAAATGCTCTTCTGCCACTGCCTATCCTGTAATCATAGTCTCTATCATAATCTCTGCTGCCTCGGTCATCATAGCGATCCCGGCACCCATATCCATCCATATCCCGGCATGGGCCATCACGATATCCATCTCCATATCCATCCCGATATCAGATGGAATCATAGCCATCTAAAGCTGTCATCACCTCTTCTAGGCAGAGAGTCATCAAAGCTGTCTGTGGCAGGTCGGGCTCTCCAGTCGGTGTCTGTTTTGTCAGAATCCCGATTTCTATCTCGGCCAAAAGAAGGATCATCCCTGTCTTTATCCTGTGCTTGATCAGCAACATCCCCTCGAATTCTCCTGTTACCTAGAGACTCTTCACTGAGACTCAGGGCACTGAGCAGGGAGTCCAGGTCCTCAAACTCAGCATAGCCCAAACCTTTCAACCTCTCTGGATTGCTGGGTTCACGTGGTAAGCGCACTGCACTGATATTTAATCCTCTAAAGAATTCCTTAATGGAGTCTTCTGTCACATCATAGGGCAGGTTCCCTAGAAAAGCAGTGTAGGGTGGCGATTTGGGAAGACGGCTCCAGTCATTATTGGGTTCCCCAGCAGCCTGTGGAGCAGTGGGAAGGATGGAACGGTCAGTTGGAGGTGCCCTGTACACATCATCATCATTACTGTGCCAAGTGGTTGAAACATCTCCTTCCAGGTCATCTGTTTCATCAGCCCAGCTGACTGGTTTGGGGAATAGGTGCTTCCTCCACCAGTCCCTCCATCCTCAGCCAGAAAGTCTGTTAGGGAGATAGTCTTCCCCTTCTTATTATTCTTTTTTGCTGAGGCGCCATGTTGGGAGAGGGAGGGAGAACGCAAAGCCACCCTTCTATTTTCATGGCCTCCCTGTCCTTAGGCCCCTGGATTTTTCCTGTAGCTTCCACATGTGAGGGAAAATATGGGCAATATAATAATATGGATACTTATTTCTTTGGGTCTGGCTTATTTTGCTCAAGATTACAGTCTCCGGGTCATTTATTTCTTGCAAGTGAGATAATTTTGTTGTCCTTTGTGGCTGAATAAAATGCTGTTTAAAGGGCAAGTCTTCCTGAAGGTTGAAGCAGGACTGAAGGGCCCTCCTAAAACACCAAGGTCTGGGACAATCTCAGACACAGGGCTGCTGTTAGACACTGCAGGGGTCACCCTGTTTGTATTCAGGTGAACAAACGGAAGCCCAGAGAGGTGAAGAGACTTGCCCAAGGGCACACAGTGCATTAGGTCAGTGGCTGAGCAAGAATCCAGGTCTCCCAGGGGCTGCCACCTGCTCCCCCTGCAGTTTGCTGCCTTGCTTGAGATAAGGGGTGCCTGCCTCCATCCCCCTTTTCTCACTTCCTTATTTTTTTCTTTTGACCTCAGCTGCTCCTTGGCAGTACAGCTGTTGCTGATATGAAGCCACAGGGGACCATAAAACTTGGATAAAGAAGAGTGGAGAAAGGGCAGGGAAATGAGGGAAAGAGATGAGACCTTCGGTGGCCAGGGGAGGAAGGATGGGAAGCCGCCCCAGGCTGTCCAGGAAGCTGGGGGCGGGGCTGCTGCGGGAACCTGCACACGTGTCCCAGCCCTTGCTCTGACCCGGTGATGACTCAGGTGAGCCCCGAAAACACAAATCCTCCCAGTCCCAAAGAGGCCAGCCTCTGGCTTCCCTCCAAGTGATCACGTGCCTCAGACCCAGGGGCCCAGTTCCTTGTTCGTGGTGGCTTAGTGCCAGCATCCCACCCCTACAAAGAGTTTTGGCCAAGAATTGCAGTCCAGCCATAGCTGCAGGCTTTGTCCTGCTTCACCAGGGCAGGGCGGGTGTGGCCCTGCAGGTGGCCTGCTGTGGGAAGCCATTCTCACGCGTGACTGGGTGACTCCCGGTTTGGGTCTGAGGCTTCTGGCTGTGTCGGAATTTTCCCGGCCCTCTCCGTGTGGGGGTGTGACTGACCACTGACCCCGGGGGCCCAATCACTGACCCTGACCTTGGAGTGCGGCCCCCCCTCAACCTTCACTGGATGGAATTATCCCCTGAATTTCTTGTTCCCCAATAAAAGGCTACTCCCAGGCATGTTCACTCTCTCTCTCTCCTGCTAGCCCTGAGTAATCCTTGCTGCCCTGCTGGGTGGTTAGAGGTTGGAGCCAGAGAGGGGAGCCATCTCGGACCTGGCAATAGAAATAAGGTAACTGAGTCTGTGTGTTTTATTTCAATCTCTTCTAGCTAACTTTTATGCCAAGAACCTCATTAATGAAACCATTGCGCAGGCCGCATGGTGGAGCCCGCTGCCCCACAGATGGGCTCCAGGTGGCATTAGGCCCCTGCAGAGCGCAGGTGAGACTAATAACAGCTGCGGAGCTCCCAGGACACTGAGGACCTGGCAGGGGAAGGTGAGCCCATCCAGGGGAGCAGGGCTCCTGGAATCAGGATCCGCAGCCCCAAAAGGAGTGGCCCTGCCCCTCATGTCACCTGGGGAAAACTTGGACCCGATTCCTGACTGCTTCATCCTGCAGCCGCCAGTCTTCCACCCGGTGAGCAGCTGCCCTCACCTGGGACTTGCCGGGTCTCAGGGGTCCTCCCTTTCTCCTGGGCGGACTCCTCCTGCGTGGGGGGGGGGGGGTGAGAGGACCTCAGTCTTGGGCCCAGCTTCCCCAGGACCTGCCCAGGGTTCTGGAAGGCTCTCTTGAGTTTAGCACAGTGGCTGAGCAGCTAATTGAATGTGAGTGACTGATGGACATTTTAACTTGGTGAAGCCTGGGAGCCGAGGCTGCGCCCTACTGGGCTGGGAGGCCAGCAGGAATGGGGAGTGGGTGCGATCTTTGAAGGGGAGGCTGATTAGTAGGAAGGGTAGCCTCACTCCAGCCTGGAAGGGACAGTTCCAGGGGAACCTCCCAGTCATGGGGGTGGGGGGTCCCTCTCCTCCTCCTCCTGTTCATGAGAACTTGAAGCCAGGCAATGCTTAGAGAAGGCTGCCCCCCACCTCCCAGGGGACACCCCCACTAGCAAGCACTAATTATCCTTTTCCCTTAATTGGCCCTCTCCTCCCAAGGGCAGCTCAGTTAATTACACACCCTGCCTGGGCCTGGGAAGTGGAAACCACTGAACTTGAAGCCCTGCTAAGCTGTGGGTGGCCAGGGGCGTGCTGACGGGAGGGGGCCCTGGGCTCCTCCCAGGAGCCTGAATAATGGGCTGAAGCAGCTGCACAGGGCCCCAGGGCTACTTGCTTCCCAGGCTGGAGCCTGTCACCAGGAGGCAGCGCTGGGGACTCAGCTCTTTCTGGCTGGTTTGGGCTTCTGTGCACTGCTGGGAGTTGGCAGCAGTGCATGAAGGCGCCCTGTTCTGCTATTCACACTCCTTCTGCAAACAGCTCTGCAGAGACCTCACTGTGCTGGGCTGGGCCTGAGCCCAACAAGGGAAAGAGCAGGCTTCAGCCCTGGAGGGGCTTGTGGCCTCCCAGGGAAAGCAGCCAGCCAGACCCGCTGCACCAGGGCCCAAGGGCCAAGGCAGCCCTGTGGGCAAAGTGCCCTGGGAGGACAGGGGAGGGAAGGAATAACTCAGGCACCAAGAGGATGATGCTTGGAGAAGGCATCAGGGTGGAGGGAGGGCGGAGGAACAGCCAGGAGAGTGTGGGGGGTGGGAGGAAGGCCAGGAGGAAGAGACCAGGAGGGCAGCAAGGCCACTGCTAGGTCCCCTTCAGGGCTCCACATAGGGTCAGCTCTCAGCTCCAACTTGCCATTCTGTCTGCCTCCAGGTCCCACTCTGGCCATTAAACTGTCCCAAGAAACTTCAGTACCAGGCTCTGGGCACCAGGTGGCACTGAGTGAATGACAAGATGCTGAGAGCCACAGCTGAGTCGGAATGGCCCCTGGCATTTTGCCAATAGTATTGGTTGACAGGCGAGGCATTACTATCCACCTCAGCTGCTACTTTGGAGTTCTCCTGGGGATTCCCGGGGATTTCCCGGAGAGTTCCCATTGGTTGGGGAAGTGCAGGAGGAGGGATTTCCGGAGGAGATATTTTGGGTGGCTGGTTCCTGGACGAGCCGCATGCGGGAGAATTCCCCAGGAGCATGTGTGAAGTGTTTGGTGGAGTTCAAAAATAAAGTTTGTTCCTGCTTCAGTGGCTCGTGATTTGTGCCCAGCCAGACTGCGGGATTTTGTGGCTGGGCACAAAACACGAGAAAGGGACCAGGAGGGCAGCAGGGCCACTGTCAGGTCCCCTTCAGGGCTCCACATAGGGTCAGCTCTCAGCTCCAACTTGCCATTCTTTCTGCCCCCAGGTCCCACTCTGGCCATTAAACTGTCCCAAGAAACTTCAGTACCAGGCTCTGGGCACCAGGTGGCACTGAGTGAATGACAAGCCTCACTGGGGACACAGCAGCCTGTTGTGTCCTAAGAGCTAGGGACAGCTAGCTGGCTGCAAGGGAACTGAAGGGGCGTCCCCAGTGTGATGTAGCTTAGACTCGTCCATGACAGGCAGTTGGCGGAGGATTTCAGAGGGAAGGACTTTTTCCTGTAAGGACAGGTTCTGTTTGGGGTAGGGAAGTAGAGTTGTCCTGTTTTTCCCTCCCACGTACTGGACATGGGGTCCCTCGGGCCTTTCTCCAACCTGCAAGCATGGGTCTCTTCCCTCATTCAGGTGATTCCATATGTCACAACCATTTTTGGTGGCCTGCACGCAGGCAAGATGGTCATGCTGCAGGGAGTGGTCCCTCTACGTGCCCACAGGTAAGGGGGGGGACCAGGGGAGCTGGAGCCCAGCTTCAGCAGCGTCGAGCTGGGGGCTCCTGTCTGCCTTTGGGATCTCTGTGGTCTCTGACCAGACAGCACTTTGAGAGCCGCCCCTCCCCCTCAGGTTTCAGGTGGACTTCCAGTGTGGCTGCAGCCTGTACCCCCAGCCGGACATCGCCATCCACTTCAACCCTCGCTTCCACACCACCAAGCCCCATGTCATGTGCAACACCCTGCACAGTGGACGCTGGCAAAGGGAGGCCCGCTGGCCTGGCATGGCCCTGCAGAGAGGGGCCAGCTTCCTCATCCTCTTTCTCTTCAGGAATGAGGAGGTGAAGGTGAATGGAAGGGACAGGCGTCGAGGGTCCTAAGCTTGTTTCCTTGCACCCATCCTTCCCTCAGCCAGTTCCCCCTGTCACCGTGGTGGGTGGCATTGTGAGGAGAGGACCAAGGAGCTGCCACACCTGGTTCCAGGCTCCCTGCACCCACAGGCTGCTGGACATCCATGGAGTCTGGGTGTGGAGAGGCCCCCTCTGCCACATCAAAGCCAGCTGACTCCAAGGCCTTTCCTTCAAGGGGAGGGGCAGGGGGTGCTGGGGCTGAACCCAGGGCCTGTGCATGCTGAGCGGGTGCTCTGCCCTGGGCTACACCCTGCCCCTCTAAGCCCACTGATGTCTTCACTCATGGAATCCACCCCCATCTTACAGCAGCTGCACAGGACAGGGAGAGGGGACTTGTCCACTAGACTTTGGCCTCTGAGACAGATGCCTGCCAGAAAGATGAGAGGGTCTTCAGACAGCTTAGGCGGGAAGGGCGAGAGGGACTGAGGATAGGACAGCACCGGCCTCTTCAGCCTTGGTGTCCTCCCTGTCAGTGGGGACAGCAATGATGCTCTGGGCCTGCTGAGAGGAGAGGGGCTTCTTCGGGGACAGGGACGGGCACTGACCGGGCCAGCTCTGCCGTCTACCAGCTTTGTGACCTTGGACGCTCTCTTAAACTCATCTGTAAGTGTCCTTACGCTGCAGAGCTGGTGTGAAGCCACAGAGGCAGTCTCCAGGTAGAGGTGCCTGCAGAGCTTGGGACACAGTTATGAGCCCAGCCTAGCTCAGCTGCTGCTGAGCCTGGTGCTGTCTGCCTCTCCAGGTGAGTGTAAACGGAAGGCACTTTCTCCACTACCGCTACCGGCTCCCACTGTCTCGGGTGGACACCCTGGGCATATTTGGTGACATCTTGGTGAAGGCCGTTGGGTTCCTGAATATTAGTGTAAGTTCCCTTGGGGCCAAGGCCCAGGGTCTTGGTCTCTGCCTTCCTCTGACTCCTGGGCAGACCTGGGACCCTCTCACTTACCCCAGAGCAGCAGACAGAGGAGGCCTGTAGGTCAGAAATAGCCCAGGTGTCCTATGTGAGGGAGGTGCATGAGAAGGTGACAGTAGAAAGGGAGGCCAGGAGCTAGTGGCAGGAGTCCATGCTGGCTGTGGGGTCTGGCTTACACTAGGAGCTAAGGACAGAAGGAAAGAACCGGCATGTGGGGCCCAAACAGGCTGAGCTCGCCTGCTCTGTCATTCTCTCCCGATGGATTTATTAAAAACGCAGATCTTTGTGACCTGTCACCAGAGAGTCTCCTTGAGGAAGTCTTTGGTGGCCTAGAATTGATAGGTTCAACACACCAGATTCAGGAGCCACTGAGGAGCTGTGTGGGAAGCAGGGCAGGGCAGGTGGGGGCCAGATGAGTGGCTCCTGGGCTTGTGGTGGCCTTAAGAATTGTTTTCCTCTCTTTCTGGACAGCCATTTGTGGAGGGCAGCAGAGAGTATCCCACTGGATACGTGAGTCTCTGGGGGCAAGGTTGGCCTTGTGGTTGGTCAAGACTCATGGGGTCAGCCTCCTCCTCCCCCTGCATGACCTGCAGCTACACTGAGCCTAGCTGGCCCCCCTCCTGCTGTGGTTGTCATGGATAGGACTGGCTCCTGTCAGCCCAAGGACAGCATGGATGTGGCTCTCCCAACCCTTCTCCAGGGCCAGCTTAGGGAGAGGGGGGGATGGGCGGCTGGCAGGAGGGGCCAGGATCCATAATTCCCACTGGGAGATGACTTTTGCTTGGAGCTTTCAATCCTCAAAGTGACCCTGAGAGGTGGCTGGGTTGGCCTTGTGTGACAGAAGTTGGTCAAGGTGTGGGATGACTGACCCACTGGCCAGTTCTCCCCCATTTCCCCAGAGCTGGTGGGCCTCCGGACACAGGAGGATCCCACTGGGGCTCCAGTCGCTCACCTGCTGCTCTGAGAGACACAACCCCAAAGCATCCCCAGTGTGGAAGGATAATGGCAAGAGGGTCCCTCCCAGCCCATGACCAAGGGCTTCCTTGTGCCCCTTTCTTTCCTGACAGCCCTTCCTGCTGCAGAGTCCCAGGCTGGTGAGTGAAGCTCCTTCCTTGTGTCCCCTGGAGGTGTGGCCTCTTCTGGGCTCCCTCAGGCCTGGGAAGACACCTGGATAGGAGGCCGAGGAGCTCCCTGTGGTGGGAAATGCCCTTGGTCTCAGGATTTCCCTTGCTTTATGGGAACCTGCAGGCTGTGGGTGGGCCAGGCAGCTGCAGCTGAAACTCCACCTTCATTTGACCTTTTCTCCATTTATTCTGCAAAAAGATATTTGATGTCCTGTGTGCCAGGCCAGTGCCAGGCTCTATGACAGAGGGACAAGCTGGTCCTAGCCCTCCATGCAGCCACTGCAGCTCAGGACACAGCCATGGGAGAAGCACATGGTGCACTGACACTGGAGCACTGAGCTCAGCCTGGGGGCAGGGGAAGCTCTCAGCAGGCCAGCAGCAGGGGTTTAGTAATGAAGAGAGCTGCACTTCCTGCTGCAAGCCCATGGCAGAAACTCGCCTGTCCCCGTGCGCTTCCTTGGCCCCTGACAGTAGCCCTCACAGGTGTTCCTAGAGGCAGGAAACCCTTCCAGAGCCTTCACAGCCATCCCCTTGTTCCTTCAGCAGGTGCCCTGCTCACGTGCTCTTCCTCAGGGCCTCTGGCCGGGGCAGGTCATCATAGTTCGGGGACTGGTCTTGCAAGAGCCAAAGGAGTAAGTATCCAACCAAGCATCACCTCCTTTAACCTCCCAGCACTGCCATGTCACCCCTTCTTACAGATGGGAAGGCGGAGGAGCAGCAGGTAAGAAGCCCAAGGTCACAGAGCTTAGGAAGGTCAGGCTGGGACCAGCAGCCCCACTTGCAGTAACATCTTCCCTCCTGGTGCCTCTGGTCAAGCCACCAGCCCTGCATCTGGATCCCAGGGGAAACACAGACAGAGACCCAGAGAGAGGAGGTGGCCTCCCAGAGTGACACATGCTTGGTTTAGGAAAGAGCCAAAACACCCCAGAGAGGAGGGCTAGCTAGTACTTGGAAGCCAGGACTGGGAGGGAGACCATTACTTGCGCTTCCTTGCTTGTCATCCAGGGGGCGATCAAGTCCTGACAGTCTGCTCAAATCTAACTAGACAAGGGCCTGCCCGCCTACCTGGAAGAAAGGTATTGGATGTTATGGCTTTGGGAAACCAGATAGCCGGCACACTTACTACCTGTGCAAACTTAGGGCAGTGACTTTTCCTCTCCATGCCTCAGTTTCCTTATTATTTAATTTATTTTTTTTAATTTAGTTGGACACAATACATTTATTTTATTTATTTATTTTTATGTGGTGCTCAGGATGGAACTCAGGGCCTTGCTCGTGCTAGGCAAGTGCTCTACCGCTGAGCCACAACCCCAGCCCCAGTTTCCTTATTTTTAAAGGGGGTAATAATAACAGTGACTTCAGATTGGTTCTGAAAACAAACAGGGGGGTTTTTATTTATTGATCAATCTTTACTTTATTTATTTATACATGGTACTGAGAATCAAACCCAGTGCCTCACACATGCCAGATAAGTGTGCTACTGCTGAGCCATAGTCCCAGCCCTTAGTTTGGCTCTTAAAATAGTACCTGACCCATGGTAAGTGCTCCACAGTGTGGGTGGTCTCACAATTATCTGTGGGAAGCAGGGGAGGGGAGTGGGGGCTGTTGGGAAAAGTATAAACGGCAGCCATACCCCAGAGAAAAAACCCCAACACGGCACCTAAGCACCTCTTCTTCCTACCTTCTTCTTTTCTGCAGTGGCGCGAAAAGTTCCCGCCCGTGTGAACTCTCCCGCCGGCGCCAATTTCAAATCTCGCTGGCGGGGAACCTTAGCCCCAATGAGAACTAATTCCTGGGCTCCGGAGCTGATATCTGAAAGAACTTGCCAATAAACGGGTTGCCTGCCATTTATCTAAGCCCTACCATCTCCCCCTTAGTTCTATATAAGCACACTGCTTTTTGCAATAAAATTGGAATTCTCCCGGCGAAGTGTCTTTGCGTGGGGAATTCTTTCATTCTGGTGCCGTGACTCGGATACGGGTGAGCTCTTTCCAACAAGAGCCCCGTCCCCGCTCCACCGAGACACTCCGCCCTGGTCCGCTCTTTTCAGACTCCGGCTGCCTGCACTCAACACACTGATCTGGCATGGTAAGGATCCCCTGACCCCGGCTCGCCAACTCCCTTCGGGCTAAGGCTGGATTTGTGACTGTGATCGTCCGGCACACTCCAGACGCCCAGTGGGGGAGAGGGAATCCACCCCACTAAGACCTTTACTGGCCGCAGTGGACCCTCTGGTGATCCGTTTCCCTTTGGGGCGTGAGGCTTCTGAGTTTACACGAGAGGCTCTGTGGTTTTTTTCCCTCCTCCGCTGCCGCTGCCGCTGCCGGCTAGAGTTGCTGTTTCCTGCGGGGCTGCTGTGTCTGGCTGAAGCTGCCTCTCTGCTCGGGGAAAACTGAACTCCTGGCCTGGAACTGCGTTCTGCCGGAGCAGGAGTTCTGTTTTCATTACTGACTTCTTTCACTGCGGTCGAAAACTTTCCTGACGTCAGGTTGCCCGTGGCTCCGACCCCATTGGGTCTCACAGATCGCACTTCACTGGTGACTACCAGGTAGTGCCCTCTGTATTTCCTCATGACGGCTGGTCATTTTGGGGATGCCCACCTGACCCCCGTTCACCCTGGGCTTCCTGGAAGCCGGTCCAGCCCGGGTTTTCTCTTTGTCTCTCTTGCTTACTCTTATTCATTCTCTCTCTCTCTCTCTCTCTCTCTCTCTCTCTCTCTCTCTTCCATCTTTCCCTGTGACTATGGGCACCTCTTCGTCTATACCTGAAGCCTCACCTCTCAAATGTTTAATAAAAAATCTGGCCACATTCTCCCTCACACCAGACATCAAGCCCAAACTTCTAATCAAATTCTGTACCCAAGATTGGCCTACATATCCACTGGATAATGGCAATCATTGGCCTCCAGAAGGCTCCTTAGATCCAAACCTCCTCCGGGACCTTTTTAACTATTGCCAGTGTCTGAAAAAGTGGAGGGAGATTCCCTGCGTTGAAGGTTTTAGCCTTCTCGCACAGCACCCTGCTCTCTGCTCCTCCTGCTCTCCCTCTCAGGTCCTCCTTGCTTGCAAACCCCTCTCTTCCCCTACTTCTCCTCCTGACTTCGCAGATTCTTCCTCATTTGACCCAGCAGATGAACCCCCACCTTATCCCCCAGCCCCATCTGCCCCTTCTCTCCCACTATACCCTCCTCTTCCTCTGCCTGATTCCACAGATCCTCAACCTTCCGTTTCATCCCCCTCCTCTCCGCCCTATACTGCCTGCTCCACCTCCTCCTCCTCCACAGAGACACTCCCTTCCCCTCCCTCTCCTTCCTGTCTGCCACCTGCCTCTTTCAGTCCTCCTGTTACCAGGTCTAAGGGACTCCTTCCCACCCCCAAGACAATCGCACCCCTTCGTGAGGTAGCTGGTCCCGAGGGTGTCATCAGAGTCCACGTGCCCTTCTCCATGTCAGACATTACTCAGCTAGAGAGGAAGTTAGGCTCGTTCACCACTGACCCCACCACTTACATTCGGGAGTTTCAATGGGTCCTGCAAGCAGATAGCCTCACTCATCATGACATCTACATGCTCTTGGCCAATACACTTCTCCCCGAGGAAAGGCGATGGGTCTGGGAGCTAGCCCAAGCCCATGCTGATGAAAATCATAGGACCAATCCTAACCACCCCACGGGCCCTCATGTTGTCCCAGAGCAGGATCCCCTATGGGATTACAACACCCCTGAAGGCTTACAGTCTCGTGACCTTTTTACATCCTGCCTCTTGGCGGGCCTAAAAAAGGCCACCCGCAAGGCTGTTAACTTTCAAAAGGTGCAGGAGGTCATTCAAAGGAAGGAGGAAACACCTTCAGAATTCCTGGATAGACTAACCAAGGCCCTTCAACAGTACACAAACCTCGACCCAGAAACCCCTGATGGCCGTCATGTCTTAATGACATATTTTCTGGCCCAAAGCTACCCTGACATTAAAGCCAAGCTTAAAAAGCTCGAACAGGGCCCTGCTACTCCTCAGACCGAAATCCTCGCTGTCGCTTTCAAGGTCTTTCATGGTAGAGAAGATGAAAGTGAACGCCGTAGGCAGAGGCTGAAAATGCCAAATTCCAAATGTTGGCCCAGGTCATTCAGAGAAGGTCATCACCACGCCATCCTAGTAAGACACCCCCTGGAGCTTGCTTCAAATGTGGTAAGGAGGGACATTGGGCCAGGGATTGTCCTTCGCCGAGGACACCCTCCAACCCCTGCCCAAAATGCCATCAAAGGGGACACTGGGGGGCAGACTGCCCAACAACCCGGAAGGGAGGTTGGTCAGCTGCCCGGCAACCCCAGCCTCTCCTGGGCTTGGCAGAGGAGGATTGACGGAGCCCTGGGCCTTCCCTCCCAACTATTACCATCAAAAAGCAAGAGCCTAGGGTCACCTTCCTGGTGGATGGACGCTTCATTACCTTCCTCTTGGATACTGGTGCCGCTTTTTCGGTCCTGAGGGAGTATTGGGGTCCTACCACACCCTCAAAAACTCCTATTGTCGGGGTAGGAGGTAAACAGATTTTCCCTCAAACCCCCCCCCCCTTATCATGTTATATGCAGGGATCCCTTTTGTCCTTCACACACTCCTTTCTCGTTATGAGCCATTGCCCCATTCCCCTTCTGGGAAGGGACATACTCTCACTATTGAAAGTCACCATTCACATATCACCCCACACCTCTCCTACCTCTCATTTCCTCATGATGTTCCTAGGGGCAGATACACCTCCTTCACGCACTCTTCCACAACTATCTAAACCAGTTAACCCTGAGGTTTGGGACACAACTACACCCTCTACGGCTAAATGCAGTCCTATTCATATTGTCTTACGGGACCCTTCAAGATATATTAGTCAACCATAATATCCACTCACAACCACAGCCCTCCTAGGATTAGAACCCATCATCCAGGATTTATTACAAAAGGGGTATCTTAGGCCTACACACTCTCCTTTCAACACCCCCATTCTGGCAGTTAAGAAACCTAATGGGTCCTACAGGCTGGTTGAAGACCTTCGCCTTGTCAACTCCTCTGTGGTCCCCATCCACCCGCTAGTGCCCAACCCTTACACCCTCCTCTCTCAGATCCCTGCTACTACTACCCACTTCTCGGTCCTAGATTTAAAAGATGCATTCTTTTCTATTCCCTTGTCCTCAGAATCTCAGGATATCTTTGCTTTTACGTGGACTGACCCTCACACCCGCCATTCTCGTCAGCTTACCTTAACTGTCCTCCCACAGGGATTCAGGGATAGCCCCCATCTCTTTGGCCAAGTTCTTGCCCAGGACCTCACATCCTTTCACCCCACCTGTCCTGACTCTACTCTCCTTCAATATGTCGATGACCTTCTTCTATGTAGTCCCTCTTGGGAACACTCTCAATCCCACACCGCCCAGCTTCTCAATTTCCTAGCAGATAAGGGATATAGGGTGTCTCCCCACAAGGCCCAGGTTTCCCAGTCTTCTGTCACCTATCTTGGTTTTCGTCTTACACCTAGGAAAAAGGAAATAACACTGGATAGGAGGCAACTCCTCTCTAATCTTCCAGTGTCCCATATGAAAGCCGAAATACTATCATTCCTAGGACTAGCAGGTTATTTTAGGGCCTGGATCCC